AATTAGAATTTGACAAATGTAAACAATAAAATAAAGTTTTTATAGTTTCATGCGGGTGAAGCCGCATGGGAACAGCTAGTTTCATACTAATTGTACACTAAGCGTCCTCTTAAATGACCATTAATGAAAAGATTTACCATTAGCTGAACCAATGGAAGTGTGGTTTTTACCGCTAATTGTGATACAGGATCAGTATGATTTTACTAATAAATTTTTGTAGAATTCTTTATGTGTGTGGCAGTAAGTCATTAGAACCAAGTACGCCCTACAGAAATCCAAATATTTAAATATATTGGAATGGTTTACAATTATATATAACTAACTATTAAATCCCATACGCAAATATTACTTGCGTAGCCCAAGAAGTCATTAAGTAAGATTTCATGACGCAATTAAGTTCTACCAAGTAATGTAGCTTTGATTAAGATTTCAGCCTTATACTAATTGCAGGTTCCATTACAATAAGGTTAAGTGTTTGTGAAGTATGTGGGTATATCAGAAGGTTTTTAAACGTTGAAATTAATTTAAATGGACTTGGTATCATTGACCGTTAAAGTAAGCATTTTATGATCATCAGAAGGTCGTTTATAACGTTTGAAAGTCGAACCTTTTTGGTATGAAATGGAAACAAAAGACGTATGTTTCTTTTTTCAATTCTTCTATGATCACTAGAAAAGTAAAATAATATTAGATATTATAATTAAAAAATATATTTCATTACAAAATTTTAATTTCACTCGTGAAAAGCATAACGAAATTACATTGAAAGCATTAAAAAAGTACAAAAAAAAATTTGCTTAATGACCGGTGTTAATCGAAAAACGGGCAACATGCATGTAGAAATAATAAAAAAATCAAGCATACTGACCCAATTTACGAGATATATTTTTAATTTTGAATGAATATTTTGAGTGAATTTCGTTTGAGTAATAAGGTAAGATTCAATTAGAGCGAAAATACTTTCCGTCTGAATAGGCTGGTATGAAAGGACGGAAAAACGCGTAAAAATAAAATGAAATGTAAATAAACAATCTATTTGCCAATTTATTTAACTTACACACGACATATCATTTCCCCTTATTCGTTTGTTTTAAGGTTGTTATTCGCTTGTTTTGTACTTTCTTGGTGTATTTTTATGTTGGTGTTTTGACAGGAAAGAGGGAGGATTTGTACAAAGACTTTGCGTCCATATTCATGCGAGTTCGGATGAAAATGTTAGTACAATGGTAGGCGCGTCATTAGAGTGCGGAGGATGCCTGAGTGCCAACTTGTGGACTTGTAATGAAAACTTCCGTGACGAATGACTTGAAAAGAAATTAGTTGGAAAATTTATTTGGCACTAGAATGAATGTCACATTTCAGAACGAAATAATAAATAGAATACCTAATTCATAAAACATTGGTAATTAAGAGACGTTCATCTACTAATCTTTTAAAGAATTAATTTTTTTACAGACAATAAAATAAAATAATGAAAAAGAAAGTTATGTGAAAAGGGTCTTATTAATTTAAGTATTTTTATGTAGTAATTAAGTCTATATGGTAACATAACAAACATTATAGATCCTAAAGTAAATGCAGCTTAGATTTTAACAGTATTTAGGACCTCTTAAGTGACCCCTAGTACGTTGATCTGCCCGACCTCTGCAGGAGGGATTTGGTCAAATAGCTTTTTGCTCTGGCGTGTTCACTAGACCATAGAATTTATAATTAGTTGTAAGAATGATAGCCCCAGGCTGCTTGTTTAATCGATTTTGATAACAGATGCATTGAAAATAACAAGTGACATTGATTAATATAAACTTTTACAGTGTTACCAACCTTTTAATAAATGAATAATTAGTTCTTTAAATAAAATTCAATATTATTTATCCGGGACTAATGACCTATTTCTTTTTATAATGTTTTATTATCAGCTAGTAACCTCATACTTCATTATAACACTAGCTTTCGCCTGCGACAACGTCCGCGCGGTGTTAAAAAAACTTAGTAACCTCTGTGTTCTGTCCAGACTATGATGTCTGACCAAATTTTATCGCAATTTGTTTTGGAGATACGAAATGTAATAATAGATGAAGTCTGGAAGAAAAAAAAACAAAACCGACTTCCAAACAAAATACACTAAAAACAAAACAAAATGCACTAAAAACAAAACAAAATACACCAAAAACAAAAT